ACATACTTACTAACTTTTAATTTGTTTTTTGTTTTTGCGTTTTTATAGGTTCATATGTGAATTGAATTTCAAGCTAGTTAAGTTTGAAGACTACACATTAATTAAGCTCAAGTGGGAAGTTAGAAAGAATACATTGATTGTGTTGGTATGAATTATAAACTTCTCTAAGCTAAAATATTTCTTTCTCTCTATTATTGTTTTAATAAACGTTTTTTCATGCTAGCTATTAGATTTGTGTATTATATAATGACAAACTAAATACAACAATAAATATATGAAATGTTTGCATTGCATCATCATATGCCTAGATACTTGTTCAAGGCTTTCTCATTAGGAAGAAGTCTTGAATAGTCCCCGGTTGGGACTGTTCTTGAACGTTTACTCTCACTTAGGTGGTGAATGTATGTCCTTTTTTTCGATTTTAAGGAACGTCTTGGCTTACCATTTCCTCGATCACCATGTTCTCTGGGTACATATGTGGGTAAGTAATTACCTATGTCGTAAAATTGTATGGCGTATTTACAGCGTAAAATTGTATGGCGTATTTACAGCGTAAAATTGCACTAGCAACGTGATCTGCCTCCCGTCCAAAACGGTAAAACTTCTGTTTTTGTTAAGGCATTAGCTTAAACGAGTCGACGAGCGCGCCGAACCATCGAGGTCAGACGCCCCCCCCCCATTGGAAGCAAATACGGTTAGCTAGGAAGCAGTTTAGCTTTACCAAACAATTAGGGTGTCCATCCACCCCCTGTATAAAGAGAGACCCCTACTGAAGCTGCACCCATTTAGACACGTGCCCCCGGCCCTAAGACGCGTGTTTTCATCTTGTGGACAAAACTGTTGAGAGAGTCGCTCATTTTCTTCTCTCTCGCTAGATTTGGATATGTGCCTCCAGTCTTGAGACATGTATTTCCATCTTGTGGACATCGAGTATCTGTTTTGGCGACGTATGTCAATCTTTTATTCAAGTGCTAGGCTACGAATGCCGAAGCACCCCCCATTTTATCATCTTCACTTTGTTAAAATCATGGACTAGAGTTCCAATGACAAATTGAGGGACTTTAGACTGCCGATGGCATATTAAGAGGGTATCATCCCCTTTTAATCTTTTTAAACCTGGTACCTTCTCATAACATGACATCACCCGGGATAACCTTTACTGTAGAAGCGTTCTACACTAGCAAAGGGTCAATCTAGATTCTTTAGCACACTAAATCCAAAAAAAACCTTTTCTGGTCTTAATAGCTACTTGTCTTGAACATTTAGCGAATCGAGGATCGTTTTGACATTCTCAACATTACTGAAAGATTCCTTATGTTTAAGGAATTTCGCAAAATGAGTCTCGAATTTATATCCTTGACTACTTTCATCATCGTCTATTCTAGACTCGATCAAAGTGGGGGCTAACTATAGATACCTACTTTTGGCCTCTTATCCCGACGGGAAGTGCAATGATATTACAAAAACCCGTTCTTCATGCTAGATCAAAGTTGAAGTGTTTATGGACTCCGACATGCATTATGAAGTAATTTAAAACCCGTATTTGAGACCAAGTTATCTTATAGCCTTTTCTGATTACAAATTAGGCGTAAAACGTGCTCATACATGTTTAAACTTGATTAATAACGGACCCAAATGCGTCAAATGCAATGATTGGATCAAATGGATCTTACATTGTTGGAAACCGAGCCAACCAGAATATTTAACCAATAAATATCCATTCAAGGCCTATATAGATGGATATCCCTTTCAAAGAGCTTTCCAACGGTGTATTATAAGCCCATTTCCGAGTTAAAACGAAGAAGTTATCATCAATATACTAAACCGAGCCCTAAAAACAACACCCTTGCACTCAAACGGCCATTTTGATCCATTATATATTTTAACCTACTTCTAATGGAATTTGAAAGAAGACATTCAGATCTTTCCAATGATATATCATTTGCCTTAATCCGACTTTGTAATCAAAAGTTATGGAAGTTTTAAAAACGCGTTTTCGTATAAGGCAAACCGCACCGAGCGCGACAATTCAACGCGACTCTGAGAGTTGCGCACGCCACCTGACACCGCGACTCTAAACCCCTAAACCTAGATTTCTAGGCCTATAAATAGGGGTCTTTGCTTAGACCTAAACACAATAGAAAAATCAGAATAAAAACCCTAGCAATGTGAAATCCCTAATCTCTCAAACCCTCTTACTATCATACTACTTTTCTCCTCTCTTCCCAAATACTCTCCAACCCTAATTGATTCCATTAAAGCCTTGGAAGTATGAAGAAGAAGGAAGGTCCATAAACATCCAAAATAAAGATCTAGCAAACAAAGGAGAATAGTTAGTGTAGATAAATCACCTTTCTTTTCTTGCTTAAACAACTTTTAATTAATTAGTGTTGTTTGATCACCTTAAGTAAACTTTAATTAATTTAATTTCACATAGTATTCTTGCGTTTAGATTTTGAATAACTAATGGATTGTTTTATCACCTAAGCCAAGGCGAATATTGTTTATTTCTTTCTCTTTTTACGAATTTGAATAACAAAGAATATTGATATTCATTGCAATGTAATCTTTATGTGATCACAGCTTGTAAATAAAGTCAACTAACTTAGTTTTAGGTATCAAGTTGCATATTTTGTTTGGTGATGAAATTGTGAAAAGGGAAGAGCTAGTAGAGGCTGCACTTGGGCTAGGATAACAATTCCCCCCTAAAGGGAACGTTATTTTAGTACCCTCACTTCCGAACTCATTTCTGGTTTAGTAGACCAATTTGGGCATGGGTAAACTTATGATTCATGCTAAATATTCCTTGAACTCTACTTGGGAGAAAGGCATGAACGAGGTTTAAGAGTTTTCCTAAAACTCGTTGGTTACTCCTTATTAGTTTCTTACAAAAAGTGTAATGATAGATTCAATTCTAATTCAAGGTCCCCCATACAGTCAAGAATTCAAATCCTAACTTATAATTCAAAAGTGTAAAGTCCTAGGCTTTTAAAGGGCCAAGGGCATAGAGGAAGTGGGATCCCCAACGACGGGCTACCCTCCTCACACCTGCCCATCAAACTCTCTCTCAAACCTTGAAGCCATGTAAAGGACTTTTATTTCCTCTCTTGTTAGCTTGCCTAGATCTTTCTTTGAGAAGCAATCTTACCCTATTAATCTGTGAAAGGTGTTTAGAATTAGGCTAAACATGTGGCTAACAAGGGTTGTTTTGGTTTTGAAGATACGAGTGTTTGCCACTTGGTTCCACCAATTTGGCTCAGTATAGCCTCTTACATCTTCGTTCAATGGATCAAAGATGTGGTTTAAGGGGTTCCAACCGAAAATCTTGTTAAGCCTAGTGAGAGTTAGTGTCCTCTTGGCATTGAAAATTCGGAATGTGATTTTGAATTTGGGGAATTCCCCTTCTTGGGAAATTTTTGTGGCTTTAACGGAGGATAGAAATTTTTGTCATTATTCTTACTTAATTCAAATTCGTGACAGAACAAAAATAAATAAGATTCGCCTTGGCTTAAGTGATAAAACCATCAATTAATTATTCAATTCTAGTCTTGTTTAACGAAAGCATACTATGTCGAATTGATTAATTAAAATTTTATTTCAACATGATCAAGCATTACTAATTAGTTGATTTAGGTGATTTAAGACAAGAAAAGAAAATTGATTTATCTATGCGCCCGAGAATTACCACTTTCCTTGCTAAATCTTCGTTTAGAACGCAAATGGACACCTTCTTGTTCGGGAACCTCCATCGTAAGAAACAAAATAATAAAATGGTGAGTGTTTAGGACAAAGGGGTTTGATTATTGCATAAATTCACAAAGTGTTATTGCTGAACCACTATTTTTATGTGTCTTAAGAGCTCGTATTGAACCACTATTTATAAGCAATGGTTGAGATTAGGGTTCGGAGATTTTGCCACAGCAGGTGGCGTGCGCAACTCTGGAAGTTGCGTGTGGCTTCCGCGCAATAGTGAAGGAGTTTCGCTGCTTAGAGCAGCGTGACTTATAATCTTGCGCGTGGATGTATGGTAAGATTCGATACAGTATATTTCTGAAATTCTAAATCTTCGCAAGCGCAACACTGACAGTTGCGCGCCTGCGGCAGCCCTAGATTTTAACTTAGGCGCTCTAAATCCGTCCGAAATTTGGTTTAATGCTTGGATTAGGCTTAATTTCTGATTGAGCTTAGTATTAAAGAGCTTTAGTTCATTTCGATTGGGCCAAGCTAGTTTGTTTTATGTGTAGGCTTCAATCAGTAGTCCACTAGCATTCCTTACTCCAATCCAGCACAAAGATAGAATTATTTATCATCTAGCACTTTCGGTTGGGACATGAGACCAAAAGTAGATGTCTACACTTTGTAAATTCAAATTTGGATGAGAACCTACTTGCTCATGCTAAAAATTCTTATACATTAGTTAAAAACAAAGGAAACCTTTCCCAATTCAGATATGCTTGCTAGTTCCATTTTCATCGGCACATTTGCCAACACGAAAATTTAACCAATAATATCTTTAGTTATCAACGAGTATCATGTATAAGAAGTTGATATTTGAAAATTAATCATTGAGACAATTCTAACAAGTTATATGACTATTGAATCTTGTAGATAATGTACAAACGAAGATCAATAAGGTGTATGAAAATAGCGCAAAAGTCAAAGGGGGACATTTATTTTAAATGGAAGGAGTAAAATTAGACTAGTCAGAAGAAAAAAAATATATACTCCCTCCTTTTAATTACTTGCTCCATTTATCTTGGGCATGTATGCCGATGCTAATCTTTGATTAATAATATCTTTAATTATCAATTAGTATAAATTCTAACAATTGAAAATTAATAATATTTTCATTGAGAAGATTCCAACAAGTACCCGCAAGACTATATTTTTTCTTACATATAAATCACGCACAAACATTAGTCAAAGTAGGATAAATTAAATAAATAGTGCAAAAAGTAGAAATAGAGCAAGTATTTAAAAATGGAAGGAGTATAAAACAAATGAGGTATAATGGAACAATAGGCTCTCAAACGAAAAATTTATACACATTTTTGTAGTATTTTCCTTTTAGTTTTCTCAATTTACAATTTGTAAAAACTAAAGGAAAAAAAAATATCAATAAACCAAAAAATCTCACTAAACTCTTCAAAAGAATTGGCCACTTTGTCGCAAATTCAATTTAAACGAAGAATATTGTATAAAAACTTATGAGGCTAATGTATGGCTTGAATCAATATAGTCCCATCATCTCCTCTTAAATGGATGCTACTGTCCCACTTTGCCTTATCTATACAAAAAAGTTTAAAAATTAATAAAAAATTACCAAAAGATAATTAAATACTACTACTACTACAACATACAACAAACAACAACAAAAACTTAGTCCTAAAATAATTTGGGGATAAAAATAACTTAATTAATAAATATATAAATAAATAAATATATAAATTATTTCCCATACAAAGTAAAATTGATTTTTGCTAATCAATTTGGAAAAAAAAAAACTTGATTATTACGTATTCACTTTGTAAATTTGATTTTCTTAATTGGAATATTTAGTGCAATGACCAAGAGTATTTACTAATGTATATTTTTTTGGAATATTTTTAAATAATGTCATGTTCTTTTCACCTTATATTTGCTAAATTAATAATAGTTTTACCAAATTGAAATTACTTTTGCTAAAATGAAAATTAATTTTACTGAACTGAAACTAATTTTTAAAGATGCTATATTATATTTGTCCTTTAAAGTTACTAATTTTTACTAATTAAACTATTTTTATTGAACTGAATTTATTTTTATTGAAATGACATAATTTTAGCTGTATTATACCTTTTTTAAGGTGAAGAAAGCAAGGCCTAAGTCTAATGTTTAGGTCTAAAAAATATTAACGTTTTATGGCTAAACTACATATAGTGCAATTGTGTACAGAATAAACAACAACAACACAAAAAAAAAAAAAAAAAAAAAAATAGAGAACGATAAAGAGGTAAATGGTGATAAAAATTGTAAAGCCACTACAAAATAAAAATAAAAAAGATCTACAAAATAGTAATTATTTATCGTTGTCATTGTATAATTTTTACTAAAAAAATAAAAAAATTCAACAAGTCTGATGGGTTAGTGTGGCACAAATTCCATATACCAAACTTATCATATCTCGAGATTTTCAAAGATTTCTTGAAAATTATAGTATGTAGAGATATTGACGAAGAATTGTACGTGGAAGAATCTATAATTTAATTGGTCAATGCTTATGTAGATTTGAGATTCATGTTGCAATTTATAAAGAAGTATACATGTATAAGTTTCCACGTACTTCTTCCACCTCTATATCTCATCTATAAATATTAATGTGGCAATTTATAAAGAAGTATATATATGTAGAAATGTCTGCATACTTCTTGCACTTCTATATCTCATCTATAAATATTAATGTTGGGCATCAGTTGAAAGCATGTATCCACCTACATCATCCTTCAATGCTTCAATCCTATTATACAATTTATGAGGGTTCCAAGACGGGTCTGATGCCTCTCAAAATAACCATCAGATTTTCATTTATGTCGAAAAATCCACATAGAACGAATAACATTCACATCATGAGGTCATGGAACCAAATCCCATGTATGATAAGCAATAAGAGCATTAAATTCATCTAACATTGCACTTTTCTAATTCGGGTCACAAATAGCACTAATAGGGTGGTTTGGTATAAGAGAAATGTTATGAGTGGTCATCATGTTTAGATTGTGAAAGTACTTTGAGTTAGGCTTGATGATGCCGTTTTTTGCTCGAGTTATCATTTGGTGGGATGGGGTAGCAGGCTGGGGAATGTTACGGGTATGAGGGTTGTTTGAGGTGTGGCTGTTAGGAAGGGATAACGAGGGAAATGGGGATTGCGGCATGGTTACAGTAGAAGGAGCAGAGTCGCAGTCTACCTGTGGTATAGGCTGATCATCACTTCGTAAGGAAGTGATGTGTGGGCTATCAGGGAAAGTCGGTCCAAGGTGTGGGGTGCGTTGGGTAGTGGGATGCTGGGAGCCTACCAATTAGACTATGATAGCACCAGCTGGAGAAAAGTCTAAGCTAAAGGGGGAAGAGGGCCCAAACACAGGAGATGGACCGAACTGCTCTTCATGGGCAGTGGGTTGTTCGTGAAAAGAGGGGTGAATGCTTTGCAAATGGTGTAGGTGATTTAAAGGATTAACATCAAAAAAATCATAATCATTAAAAAGTGGCTTGTGAACTTTAGAAAACAGGAATTCGTTTTTAACAAATTTCAAATGTCGACAAATTAAGATTTTTCCGTTTGACATATCGTAGCACTTCGAACCTTGATGGTTTGGCGTGGGGCCAAGATAGACACAAGGAGTGGATCGTTCTTGCAATTTATGAGTAGAGGTAGAGGGAAACATAAGCAACCAAAGACAAGCAATTCCGAGTAAATCGGATCACATTGGTAGAAAACTTCAGTATTAGGAGATTTAAAACCTAATACTTTAATGGGAAGTATGTTTAGAAGATATGTGGCCGTTTCTAAAGCATGATGCCAAAAAGAAAGAGGCAAGGATGCATCAGCAAGAAAGGTCCGAATGATGTTATTTATTGATTTTATGTGCCATTCGGCTTTTCCATTTTGAGGAGAAGTGTGAGGACAAAAGAGTAGGAAAGGCATGCCATGGTGATTAAAGAAATCTTTAAGGGTGCCATTAACATGTTCGGTGCCATTATCACATTGAAAGGTCTTGATGTTACGTTCAAATTGAGTTTGGATTACCTTATGAAACGATTGAAACAAATGTTATTTGACCCGAGATTTGTTTGCAATAGGGAAAGTCCATAGAAATTGCTGTAATCATCAAGAAATTAGACATAATATCAATGGCTAGAAAACTAGCAATAGGAGAAGTCCAAAGATCACTATGGATTATATCAAAAGGAAAAGTAGTGTACAACAAATAATCATAAAAAGGTTATTTAGAGTGTTTCATGAGATGACACGAGGGAAAAAAAGAGTTACAAGCCTTATTTTTACCATCAATAAAATTTTTACTACTTAAAGATCTAAGAACAGTAGCTCCAGGATGTCCTAAGCGATTATGCCGAAGATCAGATGAAAGAGCAGTTTAGTTGGAATGATTGATTGAAGAATTGGCTTGAGTATTCGAAAAGATTGGATAGAGGTCACCAATATTGTCACATCTCATTAATTTCGGTCCAGTCTATACATCATTCACGGATAACCCAAAAGGATCAAATTCAATGGAAACCATATTGTTAGTAGTGAATTTACGGAAAGATATCAAGTTCTTAATTAAGTTCGGAGCATGCAACACGTTGTTTAGGGTGAAGGGAGGGTATGTGGTATGCAAAGTAGCACTACCATGGCCAATAATTGGGATGAAATGACCACTACCAACCACAATGTTATTATTTTTAATACTCGAACTGACATAAGAAGAAAGAATACCTTGATCCGCTGTCATATGGGATGTAGCTCTGAGGTCCATATAATAATTACCATCCGTGAGACGTATTAGAAAACGCATGCATAGCCGCTTCAATATACGTAGGAGTTTAGGAAAAGGGTTATTGCACTGTAAGCTTATGGGCGTTGGCCTAGAATACCCGGCCCAACAAGTCGTTAGTTTGTAGAGGGAGCAGTAGATCTCGATGCCCATGAAGCCGCTGGATATGGGCAAGGTGGATTGGGCCACTGTGCCATCCACGGGGTCCAGGACGCAAGCCAATAATACGGGCCCTGCTGAAATTGCCAATATTGCCTAAATGGTTGGCCGAATAGCTGTTGGGCTGGGCTACTCGAATTTCGGCTTTTACCAGAAGTTTTGGAGTTGGCCTTTTTCTGATTATTGTTCTTGGAGTTCTACCTGGACGCAGAGGAACTTATAGAAGTGTCCGAATGTTGCCGGTTGTTGGAGGACGAGACAAGGGCTGTCGGCGGACGAGTAGTGGACCCACCCTCCTTAGCCAATTTAATACAAGAACGACAACTTTCAAACAAAGGCAGAGGTTCTTGGTTCTGGATGAAATCAACCGTCTCGGCATAAGCTACTAGAAGTCCAGCCGTCATCTTGAGAATGAGGCGGATATTGGGATTCGGAGCATCAACATCAGCAAGACAATCGGCAAGAGATTTGATGTGATTACAATAGCCATCAATGGACGAAAAATTCTCGATTGCTTAAGCGTAGAATATATACACGATTACAAGAGATCAATTAGGCTATAAACAAGGAAACAAACTAGCTACAAACTAGGCACTAGTTTTATATTCCAAACTAATGATTTACACTATAAACAGAATATATTGACATATGCTCTAAGAGTTTCTCCATACATTATCATGATCGGAGTTTCTTTGTACACACAATGACACAATCTCCCTAGCTAATTGTCCACTATTCTTTTTTTTTTAGTACTACTCCTTTGTAAGTTCCTATAGTGAGAGTTCACTTACGTAATACTCACCCTGTCAAGGGTTCTTGTACTTTCCTATTTTTAATAAAGTGGATTTTTCGTCCATGAATTTTAAAGGAATTTTTCCAATAATAAATATAGTGTGTCTCTTAACTATTTATCTTGCCTTTAATTATCTTTCTTATTAATACTTCTCAATCTCAACATTTTTAATTTGTTTCCGCTATACATACTCACCAACCTTACAAATGTTCTTCAAAGAGTTCAAACCCATTAATTAAGAAAAAATTTAGTCAAAGTAAGAGCAACCGCGTATTACCACTATTTGATTATCAAAATATACTTATTTTAGTTTAATTTAGTCAAACTTTGACAAAAAAAATCAAGTGAAATAGAAAAAGATAATTATAATCAAGAATATTAATAAAAATATAATTATTTCATATCATATTATACAACTAATATATAAAGCTAAACTTTTAGACAGGACATTTCAACTTTTTCACCAAGTGTCGCGCCACGTAAGCAACAATTAATTATTAGTATCACACGTAGGGTTTATTAAGATAAACCAGCTGGATAAATTTAGATAGATTTTTTTTTTTGAAGGAGAAAAAAAATTAGTTTAGAGATTTACTTCCTCCGTTTGTTTTTAGTTGCATCATTTCCTTAAAACGAAAGTTTCAAATTAGTTACATCACATTTCATTTTTAGTTAATAAGCACTCTCTATATCTATCCTATCACATGAGTCCATATATTTTTTACATACTCTATCTATCTCATCTCCAAAAATTGCCTAAGAGTCTGCATTTTGCAACGTAATGCAACTAAAAAAATGGAGGAGGTATTTTAAATTAAATTTGGATAGATTTTAGGATAAAATTATATTTTTGGTTTATATAATTTTATTTTCAATAAAATCTAATATTTCAAAAGTAAAAATTAAATTATAACTTTATTAAAAAAAATATTAAATTATAACTTTTAATAATTATCTTATAAATTTATTATTTTAATATTGTAATATTGTTACTTCAAAATAAATTCATTTATAATATATTTTAATAAATGACTTAAAGTATTTCAATTATTATTAAATATTTAAATTTGTACGATTAATCAAGTCACGATACAACGTAACAAAACTTAAGTCGTAAGATTAGAAAGGGCACGCACGAGACATCAACACTTGGCATTTCAATTTTTCGTCAAGTGTCATGCCATGTAAGTAATAACTAATCATTAGTGTGAAATATATATGTATAATTTATTTGGATAGGTCTTTTAAGATTAAAAGGTGAATATATTTGGATTTTTTTTTAATTAGGATAAAAAGTTAGTTTAGAGTTTTATTTTCAATAAAATTTGGATAGATTTATAGGTGAAACGGTTGGTCTAGATTTTTATTTTCAATAAAATTACAATATTTCATATGTATAAATCTAATATCATATCACATCACTAATAAATAAAGCTGGTCTCACAGCCAAGCCATGTCAGACAGTGACACTTGGCATTCCAATTTTTCACCAAGTCTCGCGCCACGTAGGCAACAAATAAGTAATATTGTGAAATATATGATGCTAAGTAAGCGAATTTTGGATAGATTTTTTAAGATAAAAATATAGTATTGAGTTTTATTATCAATATACTTCTAATATTTCATATATACAAAATTAATTATAACTGTTAATAAATATCGTATACCTAGGTTCAATTTTTTATTATAAAATTCATTTTAATAAGTTCTTTAAAATAAGATCCATTTATAATATATTTAATTTATTTAAAAAAAAATAATATAGAATCAAAAAATAATTTTATTTTGTTAAAAATACTTTTAGTTAGGCCTTGTTCACTTTACCTTAAAAAATTATATTCAGTAAAAATAAGTTCAGTTCAATAAAATTAATTTCAGTTCACTAAAAATAATTTCAGTTCAGTAAAAATCAATAACTTTAACGAAGAAATATAATAAAAAATCAGTAAAAATAATTTTAATCAGCAAAAATAATTTCAATTCAGTATAATTAATTCAGTTCAGTAAAAATAATTTTTGTTCAGCAAATATAAGGTGAAGTGAACAGGGCATATTAATCATTTAAGTTCAATAAAAATAATTTCAAGTCAATAATAACATAGATTTCTATTTACAAACAAAACTACTGAAAGTACAATATTAGTATGTCAAAATATCTTGAATTATCAAAATGGATTACATGATCGTATATAACATTTAAGCCAAAAATTTAATCCAAATTTTTTATCAACCATCTAGGCATTGTCCGGGCACAAAACTAGTATATTTATAAAGGGGACTTTAATCCCGAGTTTTTAGAGAACCACGTAGGATTAAAATTTCTTAAAGCGCCATGTAGGATTATAAATTTTAGTTATAGCCAATTAAATAAGATATTTGTAATTTCTTTTAAAATTAAATTCAAATGTCACATAAGCAAAATTGTCGAATAAGATTTTAAAGTTAAAATTCATTAAATATGAAAAATTATCTTTTGATATCAGAAAATTTATCTAAATAAAATTTTACCACATGCATACAAAAAAAATATTTGTTTTAAAAAACAAACAAAACGTGCATCGCACTGGCTTCATCTAGTTAAATTATAAATTTCAATAAATATCTTATTAATTGGTTATTTTTTTACCAAATGTCGACAAATAAGCATTAATGTGACACGTTAACATGTATAGTGTCAAGTCAACTAAATTCGGATAGACCTTTATTTTAAGATAATAAATTATTTTAGAGTTCTACTTTTGATAAACTTTCAATATTTCATATGTATAAATAAATTATAACTTTCAATTAATATTTGATAAATTTGTCATTTTTACATCATTAAAGTAATTTTAAAAAAGTACTTTCTCAATTTCATAAAAGCTCACACATTTTGCAATTTTTTTTGGAGTGAAGAAAGTAGTTCAAAACGTATAAAATCCATTTATAATATATATTAATCGACTAAAATAAAATATTTCACAATCTAATATGATTTTTATACTGTATGTAGACATGTCAATTGAGATGGTCAGGTTGGGTTCAAGTCATTTCGGGTCGGATCACTTCAGGTCACAAGTCGATAAATGATCAACCCTAACCCAAAGTTTCGGGTTCGGGTCAACCTGACGACTTTAGAACTTTTTTTTTTATTTACTTTATTTTTGGCTAAATTTTTAGAAATTTTCGCTAATTTTTTTTATTTTTTTTAATCGAACATTCTCACCAATATTATTTTTTAACCATTACATGCCTAGTTGCCAACTACCATTACATGTCTACTACATAATTTAAATCGTCACAAAGCAATCAATTCCTAACTAATTTTGTATTGATAATATATTTAAAATTTGGCATGATGATAAAAAGTTTATCTTTAAGTTCAATAAACAACTTGGATATCGCCTGGAGCACAAAACTACTCTTTACAGTAACACATCTGAAGTTTGTTGAAAAGGGAGACTATCCCAAAAAAATAAGCATGAGTAAAACTTTACCTCTTCATTGCCACTAAAGGGGAAATGGCTTGAGAGTTGTGACAATCCTATGCCTTCATTAGATGTTCTTTATACAGAGTCTTCATAATTATATACCTGTTCGTACCACTAATAAAACAAGTAAACATTTATGAGCAAATTTTTTAATGTAAAAAGAAAGTTATCAATTTTTATCGTCAAAAAATCAATGTAATAAAAGTAACTTTCAATATTTACATATGAATTTTTCTATATAGTTCCCCTATGTTATTTTGTTTTCTAAAAATTAAGTGCACTGAGAGGATGTTAGATATGTTGGAATTGAAGATTAAGATTGAGAATTGAGGAGGCGATAGTTTATACCCCGTGCTTGGATTGTCGGATAGTTAATTGTAATGGGGTGGGATTGGGAATAAATTAGATCTATTGACATGCTTAATTATCAAAGGGGCTAAATTCGAGTGAAAAAGATTGCACCTTACAACTTTAAGGTTAGGAGTTCAATCTCCACTACACTAGAGATACTTTAAGGTGGGGACCTCTTACCCTTTATATTCAGAGTGTCTAAACCATAAATTATGGAATAAAAAACCCGTGAGGGTTGAGGTTCAACAAAGGTTCCTAGATTTTTTTTCTTTCTTCAAAAAAAAAAAAGTTCCGTTCCTTTTTTTTTTACCTAATGAAATCACCCACGGGGAGGTACTAGAGACCGAAATTGGAAAGAATGAGGAAAATACCAATTGCACATTAATGAAAGTAAAAGGATACAAAACTGGTATGAGTATTAATGTAACTTTGATATTTGTTCCTAATCAATTTCCGAACACCAACCAATCAAGGGACCGTATCGTTATTGGATTTCTATTTATAGATTATCAATTTAAATATCACCTTCTAATCCCCAAACTCTCGTTTTCATGTACCAAATGTTCCCGTTAGTGAATAAAAGAAGTGTACTCTATGTAATAATTCATGATGATGCAAGTCAAATGAAACATAAGAAAAAGTAGTATATTATTGGTTAATAAAATTTATAAAAACATTGTTTTACAAAAATATATATTGTGAATAATCTAATCACTTAGTAGTATATTACATAATATTATTTAATTTTTATATATTATTAAGAAAATCAAGTCAAATAAATAAAGTGTCACACCTTAAATAAAACCAAATAACACACGGTTATAACTTATAACATAGAACTTAGTATGTGTAACCATAAAAGTCGATATACTCTATTTTCTTTCATGTTTCAAATCTAAGATTCTGCAAGTGGTAAAACTATATAAACTTCAAATCCATGACTACTACAACATTATAGTTAAACATAACATGGAATTAAAATGAAGGGATTAATTAAATTCACCTTTCACATCTTGGTTGAACCTTGGACATCTTCGTATTCTTCATGTTGTAGGTCTAACATTTTATTTGAAAACAATACGCTAGATGGGTCACTACTTTGATTTTTGGAAGTAGAATTTGCAGCATCATTATTAGCCAATCTTCTTTTTGGTGGTAATGCTAATGTTGTTGCCTTTCCATTGTATTTGCCTCCAAACATCATATCCCCTTGTGATGCATTTGTTACCTGAGAAACATCTGATTTCATATCCATTGATGCCTCATTATCACCCTTTCTTATTTGAGTAACAAGTGCATTTGTCCCGTTTCTACGCGCGTATTTTCTATTCACCTGAGCATCCTGAAAAAGTAGAAAAACAAAGAAAAAGTTTATCATCAGGTAATGTTCGGCACAACTAGTTGTAGTTAATGGTTATTAAAGTAGCTCTTGCAATTGCCATAGACAATAGTAATCAATGATATAATATATATCTACCCTATAATTATCATAGCTATACTTGGCAATCACTACACTATCTGGAAATTATTGTTTTTAGAACCCTAGATAATTGAAGTAGTCATTTTCTAACATAAAAAGAATAGTACTCTGTAAAAGATACACCAAAAACTATTGTCGACCATGATCTAACACTTTTTACCCAAGAAAGTATTTGACTATATAAGTTAAGTGTAACAAAAATAAGTTGATGAGTGTGTGTATTTTCTTTTTTATCGTAGTCAAATAAAGAATATTTCAACATGAATGAAAAAAATAGATGAGTGATGAAGTGAAAGTAGAGGTGGCCAGTGGGCCGGGTTGGACCCAGCCCACCCTGACACGCACGGCTGGTGGGTCACGTGGGTCTGATCCGATTTCAACCCGGTACCAACCCGGGACAGCCCGGGTTGTATCATGGGTTAAAATTTTTTGACACAACCCATTTCGACCCAACTCGTTTTGACCCATTTGATTCGGCCCAACTCGCACAACCCGTTTTGACCCATTTATTCGACCCACCCAACCCGACCCAGCCCACCTTGCATGCCCAACCCGCACGGCCCACGACTCAGCCCACCCCGCACGCACGACCCACCCAACCCGCACGGCCCACACAAACTTCTTATTATAAGTATAGGAGTGGTTTGATTGAATTATTTTGTATTTTTTATGGTCGTGATAGTTTTACAAGTGATACATAGACTTTTTGTTTTGGCGAACCGTTGCTTTGCATTACTGTTCATTGGATGGATGATGATTGATCTATTCAAAAACTTATACTTTATTTTCAAGCTATGGAAGAAAGGCATACCGCTTTTAACATCAAAGTTCATATTATGGATTGTTTAAAAGAATTTCACTTGAACGTTTGTCTCTTGATAATGTAACTGCAAACACAATGTGTATTGCCTATTTGAAAAAATGACTTGAGTTGAATTTGTTCTTGGGTGGTAATCTCTTGCATGTTAGATGTTACGCACATATTTTGAATTTGTCTGTTCAAGAGGGTCTCGGTGAGTTGCAACCATTGCTAAACCCAATTAGATCGAACTGTTATAAAATGGATTAAGATTACTTCCTCAATTAGATGGAAATACATGGCTATGTGTAAAGAGAGAGGTGTTAAGAAAAGACAATACTCTTATCCGTTGGAATTTTACTTTTAATTTGTTGAATGATGCTGTAAAGTATCGTGATGTTTTGACTCAAATCTACAATGAGACTCGTGTTAATCCTAATGAGTTAATAACCGAAAGTCATTATTAGACTAATGTCTCTTTTGTTCGTGATGTTTTAAATGCTTTTGATAATGCAACTCATATTTTCTCTTATATCTATAAGCCTAACATTCATTTAGTCATATTGGAGTGTGTTAAAGTTGTTCACACCATCGAATAGCATATGAAAATTGATGGACTTCATCCCGTTCTTGATAGCATGAAACGTAAGTGTCATACTTATTTTAGTAAATTCCCAATTATTTATGGAATCGCTGCTATTCTTGACCCCAATGTCAAAGCTAAAGGTTTGGAAAATCTTTTAGAATTATAAGAACTACGTTGGCTTTGATTCCTTATTTCGTGATATAAGGCCAGGATATGTAGGCATCTTAATTAAAAGCAAGCCTTCGAATTGTTAATTTTGTAAAAATTAAACAACCTTAAAAATAAATATGAGCAAAATATTATTTCAAAATAAAAGTTCAAAACTATTAAAAAAAACACAAATTTGGATATTTGACCCACACAACCCACTTAGCCATTCGGTCCACCCGACCCTAACCCAAGAACCTAGATCAATTCAAACCTAAGAACCCACTCGACCCTAACCCACCCAATCCACAAACCCCTCCGATCCATATTGACCTATCCTCCAACCCACCTAACCCACGAACCCAACTCAACCCACCCACAACCCGTCTAACCCACGAACCCAGCTCGACCCACCCACGAACCCAACCTTGGTGTGTCCAATTTCTCTTACCCAACACACGACCCGGCCCACCCTATCCTACATGGGTCGTGTCGTGTGTCATGAAACCCCAACCCGCGACCCACCTAACCCTAACCCAGCTCGCATAACCTGCATGGTGGACACCTCTAAATGAAAGAAAGATGAAGACCTACCTGTTGTCCAGGTCGTCCTAACATGCTAATGCTGCTTTGCTCTGGCAATCCTTTTCGACCTCGTCTATGCATTCTTGATGATGATGTCGTGGTATCTTGATTTCTACCAGTCTTTTTCCTGAAATATTATAGAGAATTTATCGCTTTAGATTGTTTCAAAATACTACCTCCATTTCACATTATGTGCAACAATTAAAGGTAGCAATAGGTCGATCAGACTAATAATTACATTTATCAATATATATATATGCAAATAAACCATAAATACTATCTCCGTTACTTTTTAGTTGCAACAAAGGGGTATGTTCGTGATATAAATTATTCCTTTGTTGCAACTAAAAAGTAACTGAGGTACTATATATATATATATATATATATATATATATATATATATATATATATATATATATATATATATATACGAAGTAAAAAAATAAGATAGATAATGGTGTGGCCAGCCGCACACAATATGTGTTGAAAATGCAAATACAAGTATAATTACCTTTTTGATTCTTCACGAGATTTGGCATCAATCTCCTTGCTAGGAGGATACTTTGGCAAGCTTGACGGGTCACATGCATAAGGCATTGTATTGAAATACTGATACATATAAACAACAACCAACTTCAATCTATGGAAATAAAATCGTACTAGAGAAATTTACTCATTTTTTCGATAATATATATCCGTCTATGTTATAATTTAAAGAAATTCGTATGTACCTTAGAGTTTAAGGCAGAGGCCGCGCTTCCACGATTCGTAGGATCAACCGATAAGAGAGCCTCTAATAGATTGATAGCAGGTTCAGGGAAAGTTTTTAGCCTTTCTCGAAGTGAACTTTCGTATGGAATTTGAGGTTTAAACCTAGATGCATGAGGTAACTTAGATTTGTTCCAATACTCATCTGGTGGTGACCCGGAAAGTTTGAAGATTTTATGCAATTGTTCAACCTGTAATCGTTATTGATGCATCATCATTTCATGAATAAAATCATAACACATTGATTTTTCAAAATTAAAATTGATCATTTCTCATCTTAATGTTTAATTATAATCAGTGGCAGATAAAAGATTATTTAGTTGGTGAGCCATTGGTAAAAGCTAATTCAATACATGCTCATTTTATCTTCTAATTTGTTTTTAAATATAAGGTCGTTTTGAAAGATGGTGAGACATGTGACACCCAATATCCTTACTATAGTTAATCTTACGATCGACTATATAAACGTCAAAGTCCTAACAAAAGAAGGTAATTACCTCAGTTTTACCCTTAAGAATAGGCTTGCCAACGAGCAGTTCAGCAAAAACACAACCCGCACTCCACATGTCTACATAAGGTCCATAATTAGTAGATCCGAGTAACAATTCAGGCGGGCGATACCATAATGTGACTACACGACTGGTAAGAAGCTTAGGCTGCTTGTACTTTGTGCTCATTAGGAAGTTTGCCAACCCAAAATCAGCCAATTTCAAAATCCCATCATTATTTAGCAATATATTTGAGGTCTTTATGTCTCGATGCATTACTCCTTTTCCATGGCAATAGTCTAACCCATAAAATATTTGTTGCATGAAGCACTTTATCTGCATGTTATACAAGGTTTATAAACTTCATTCTTCTAAGACTAGTCAACAAAGCGATAGAGTTGATCATGGGCCGGACAATGTTGAAAATGTAAATTGGTCACATTCAATCTAATCCATTGCTCTAGCTAGCTAAAACTTTGGGGCAAAGATAGTTGGCCCAACCATAGAAAAATCAAGTCGAGTGAGTTTGAGACAATTGTTTTGTTCTCTTCACCTTATTCTTATTACGGAGTATTACTTATTCTTGTTAAAATTAACCTAGATAAAAAATTCTATGAAAAATAAATTAGAGCAAACCTTCAACAATTTAAACCAAACAAGGCCAAAATATAATTATTGAACAAGTCTGACCAAACAATTTAGAGTAGATACTAAATTCAAACCAGAACACCTTAAAAATGATGAAACTAAGAGAACTATTGAACAAATACAACCAAGTATACAACAAAAGTCAACAGTAATGAAACGTAAAAAGAAACTAACCTGAGGCTCAGTAAACGAGACTTCAGGGCAAGAGAGCAAGCCAGAAAGATCATGTTCCATGTATTCGAATACAAGGTAAATACTACAAGACACCTTAGAGGTAATTAAACCATGTAACTTGATTATATTTGGATGATCAAGCTTTCGAAGAATTGTAATTTCTCTTGCCATAAATCGAACACTTTCTGGGTGATAATTGTCAAATCTCACCTTCTTTAAAGCCACAAATCTACCCGTAGCATGTTCACGTGCTTTGAACACACTACTATATGTACCTTGTCCAATCTACAAAAATTAATTCACATTGGATTGTAGTAAAGAACGTTAGAAGCTGGATATGATAAGAGTGATAGGTATAATTTGCAATCATCCAATAAGTAGGTGAATTCACGAATTATGCGGAGTACATAGTATATATTCGTAAGATGTACAAAAATACATGGTGTATCCCTAAATTTTCAAAAATGCAACAATTTCAAATTTCTCATGGCAAGTATAAGAATATAGTAACTGAAGACAACTTTCTACAATTCTAAAAAGTCCAACTGTAGAAATCAATCCGTCAATCCATTTACTATACGTGGTCAGAGATAAAATCATGCGAAAAATTAATTCAACCAAAAGCCAAAGGTAATATGAAACTAAAAGTAATTTTTATTTGTCTACAACTAATGGTATTCTAATAAATTTTGGAATTATAAAAAAAAAACCTCATAATATTAGTGGAAATTAATTATTATCAAAGATTTAAAATTGATTAAAGTATTCCTGAATGTCGCAAATTCTATATTAACAGCTTCTACAAGTATTATAAAATTAATAATGATTTAAATTTGTCCATTAATAAGAAAATCTTATTAAATTTTAAAATTTTCAAAAGCTCACAGTTATGTAAGTAAGATTAGCTATCATTTATAACATTAGTTACTGTAGTTCGACAATGTCGCAAATTTTATTGCAAAGAATGAGAACTTCTCAAGCCAACTAAGGTATGACACAACGATTAGTTTAGAGTGACGTATATGATGAACCTAGCTAGAATATAAACAAAAATACATCTTAATTTTCTTTATTCGTTCACACATTTTGATATTTACACTGTATATATACATTAAGTTACATCAATTTCTCTATCTAACTTTTACTTGAAACTTTGAAAGACCTCAAAAAAAACAAAAAAAAAACAAAGTCATGAGATCTTATAAGAGTCATGAAAATGTGTAATTAACAAATTTAAACTTTTACTGGTTATGAGTAACAATTAATGATATTGTTAATTGTAATAATATATTATCAAATGTTATTATTTTTTTAATCAATAATAACCGATTATGTATAATTTATGTTATAAACTATACGTGTACATTGACATTGTGCTAAATAAACGTGTCAATCAATATAAAATGAATTATTGCGTAGTATTTAGATGATTTGTGGTTACCTTATCTAATTTCTCAAAACCATCAGCACGTAGAGGCACCCACCCATGAATGGCTTCACCAGCAACAGCCGTAAGCCATGCAGGCCAACCAGCGGCGGTTTGCTCAGCGACAACCTGACTCTTCGACGATCCGAATCGTAAGCTCAACGAGAAATTCGAGTTAGAGCCTTTGCTCTTCGATCCCTTCAACTTCTTTCCATCCTCTTCTCCTGATCCAAATAATTCATCCTCTCTATTATTATTAGTTGATGATTTTTTAAAGGGCAACAATTGTGTTTGTGTCTCACCAAATACTTGGTGGGTCCCGCTTCCGCTTGTTGTAGCGATGGCGGGACCCACAGGACGTCGACTCAATGACCTCTTAACCCGAATTTCCCCCTCTAAATCATCGACAGCAGATGGGGTTCTGGACCCCGTCCGCTTCGAAGATATGCACCCCATCAACGAACAATGTCCATCAATGACGTGACAATATCTGGGAATTTAATATAATTATTATAATTTTACTGAATTTAATCAAAATTTAAGGGGAAAATTAGGAGAAAAAAAGATGTTTTGAATTTGATCGACCCAGATGAATCAAAGGGGAAGGGTCGATAATTTGGGGGAGAAATTTTGGGGGTTTGGAATTGGCAATTGTTTCGTTTTTTCTCATTTTCTTTATCTATAATTTTAATTTTAATTTTAAATTTAGATTACAACCTACGGTTTTGTTCAATTAACAGAGAAAATTCAGGGAGAAAACCAAATTTTGTTTTTTCAAAATCAGATGATTGACTTTCTTCTATTCTCTTGCTCTTATCCTCCACATTCATACGATATCAATACTTAATCTTTGTACAAGTACTATTAAACAAGCAAATAAGTACACTTGATGAGTTGATGTGCGTACAATTTGTCATATGCTACATTTTTTGGTGTTTAGAAAGCCACAAGGGCTAGTAACGAGAAACGAATCCAAAACTCTTGAAATCGAGAAGAAAAGTTTTAATCATCTTAGCTTTTTCTCACTTTCTGTTATACGCTATATGAATTTAAATCATATAAAATATTTAGGGTAAAGTTAATTTTTAAGTGATGTATTTCATTTATTTTTTAATATTACTCCGTAATTGACACATTTCTTTAGACAAGTTTGACAATATATGATTTTAAATCAACAATATTTTAATTATCAATAAGAAAAAAACGGTAAAAATCTATTTGGAAAATATACAATGAGCAAATCTAATAATATCCGCAAGACTATTTCCATATAAAAATCACAAAACGAATCTAAGTGAGTTATTATTTGAATAATGTTAAAAATATGTTAAATACGGGTCTGAGCTGCACCCGTAAACTAAGAGAGATAGTCCACTTTACAAGACTTAGGAGGTTCCATCCCAAAACCATATGGTAATAGGAGGAGTAGCCTCTTAGCCTTATAAAGTGCTTAACTCTCTCTTCTTTTCTCAATGTGGGACACTTACATGTGTTATTTGGTACCATATATTTCACACTCCCCCTCACATGTAAGATCCCTTTTAACTCAAGGATCACTTGATCCAATTCAATTTGGCCCAGAATACTTAATGCCATTAAAGGTCCCAAACCTTGGGTCAGACAATATACTTAAGCCATTAAAGATCCTAACCGTGGGCTTGGCTCAGATTCCAAAATAGATGAAGGTTGGTCTCGAGACCAGCCATATATTCATGCTCACTCACCTAAACGACAACGTTTTATAGCATGAAACGTAAATAAGAGCTCACGTGACATGACGTCACCAAGCATTGTGTTGTCAAATCAGGTATAAATACCTGATTTAAAAGAAAATAAACCCATTTTTTATTTTTCGAAACCACCATACCCATTTTTCTCTCTACCGTCTCTTTCTCTCTCTAGTTCATCTGAAACCTCCATAAACATTCTGAGAAAGCTTAGAGATCAACAATTTCATGCGTAATCATGGATATTAGAGAAGAAATTGCTGGTGCTACCGTAGATTATGGACATCAGCGTAAAAAAATAAGGTTATTTTCAATTTTTCGCTAATTTGAGCAACGAATGTCACTCTAAACTTGTAAATCTGTTCAATCAGTACATAGATTTTGTTTATATACAATTTTCTCTCTCTAGCGTCAATTTCAGTATGATAATTACATTTTTGGTTGTTTATTTTGATTTTTGTTCATTTTGAATTTTGTATAATTTTGGTTGATTTATTTGGATTTTTGTATATTTTGTCTAGGGGAACAAGAATTACATCATCAATGCCAGAATTAAGAAACAACAACGACGAGGGTTTAGCACCGTAAGATAACTAGCCTGATTTTCTAGTTGATTCAAAAAATAAAAACCCTAACTATATTTTTTTTTGAATTTTTCAAAATGAGAAAAAGCTAGTTCAGAGTAGGATATTAAAAGCAAAGATTCGTAAGTGCAATTTTAATTTTGTTGTTGATTTTGGAGTTTAATATTAGTAGTTATAGTGTAATTGACTAATTGTTCATTTTGTAAAAATTTAATGTTCATTTTGTGAAAACGAACAAAGATGATGAAGATGTTCCGATTGCCATCAAATTGGCTAGAAAAAATGACAAGCGCGAAAATCCTACTCTTATAATAGATCCAACACTTTTAAATGATATCAAAAGATCAGCCAGGTAAGACTTAATTTTCTAAATTTTATTTATAATGATGTTCAATATCATAATCATTTGTTCATTTTAATTTCATAGTTTGGAACGCATAATTACTCTCAACTGATCTTAGTATTAAAAATGTTCATTGTAACATTAGAAAATATTCATTATAGTATTAGAAAATGTTCATTATAGTATTAGAAAATGTTCATTTTAAGATGACGAAATGTTCATTTTAAGATGATAAAATATTCAATGCTGAATTTAGTCATTTGTCAAAAATTTAATAGAGGGTGATGCTGAATTTACTTCTTTGTTCATTTTAATAGTTGAGGATGTTCATTTTGTTTGACCTGTTTAAAGGCATCACAATTATAAAAATGTTCAAAATCTAAAGAGTGAATGTTCATTACTGATAGTTAACTAAAGACTTAGGGGGATCATTTATTCATTTTCATAGTTGAGGATGTTTATTATTTTTTAAAAACGTTTATCAAAACTAAAGGGGTGAATACAAGAGACAATAATCAATTGAAGATCAAAATCAAATTTAAGAAACCAGAATCAGAAAATGTTTTTGAGAATTGGTTTGTACCTTATGAAGCATATGGAAACGTATACATCTAACCCTAAGAAAAAATGGATTTGTGACTTGAAAAATGATGTAAGTGCTCTTTATGTTCATTTCTTTTAACCCAAGTGTTCATCTTTTCAAATCAAATGTTCATTTCTATAAATGTGAGCCTATTTTTAAATTATTGTGTTAAATATTTTGCTTATGTGTATTTTTTCAACTAGGTTGATCAATTGAAAAAGTTACGGGTCGTATATTGTGCACAACTGATGCTTTTTGAGTGAAACAAGTACCACCAAATGAACAAAATGGAAGCAAAAAGAAGACAAAGAGAAAGTGATTAACTTCTAAATGTTTAAATGCAAAACAATATATGTCTTTTTGTAATATACAATATGATATTTCTTCAAAAGAGTATTCCAAATTATATTGAATGATGAATGTATATAAACATATGTTTCTGATATTTGATGATACATTTGTGTTTTAATTCATTTCATACGTTGAAAATGTTCATTTTTATACTCTTATCAATTCTAAAGGCAATTACATTTAAACACATAAAAAATTGTTCATTTTCTTTTTATAAAATGTTCAATAGAATGTTTTGATATAAATTATAAATTTTAATTAAAAAGTTGATTTTTAAAATGACAACTCATATAAATCAGAAAAGTTCATTCATTTATGTAGAATCTTAAAAAAAAAATCAATGATAACATTTCAAATAATATAAAAAAATCACATAATATTGATTATCAATAACATTGTTCATAACATCAACATAAAATGTTCATTCATTTATAATAAAATCAAATATGTTCTTTGCAAGTAAAATTGTATGCTTCAACGTATAGTATAGTATGATTCAATGTATAGATCTTGATGAATCTTGTATAGTATGCTTCAATGTTGACAAAAATCCCTATAAAAAAAATGTTCAATAAGAAATAAAAAAAAAAAACAATGATAGCAAAATTATATACTTACTAAACTATTATTCATTGATCAAACATTTAAAGAATTTCGTTGAAATAAACATCTAACACCTCCAGCTTTAAAATGCTTCAAACAAATAAAATGTATGTCAAAGTATATAAATACTATATATGTGCATAACTAAAAACAATAATGTTCAATTACATTTACCTTACTATTCTTATCATGAGATGGATCTTTTGACTGAGTAGGAATTGCATCACCAACCTTATAAATTATTAAATGACAATGGTCGAATAATGAAATGTTCAAAATAGAAAGATGAAATGTTCATAATGAAAACAATAATGTTCAACTATATTTACCTTACCATTCTTATCATGAGATGGATCTTTTGACTAAGTAGGAATAATTGCATCATCAACCTTATAAAAAAAAATTAAATGTTAGTAGTCGAAAAATGAAATGTTCATAATAAAAAGATGAAATAATCATAATGTAAAAATGAAATGTTCATATTTACCTTATCCTTCTGAATTTTGTTACCTTCAATTGACTGAGTAGTATCCTTGTTTAAAACAACCAATCCTAATCCTTCAATGCTAGAATTTGAATAAATCAACTGAGCACCATTATAATAAAGTCTTGTAAAATCCAAAAAAAAAATTGTTCAAATGATAATAACAAATCATAAACTAATTGTTCATACAGAATAAGACGTTGTTCAAATTTAGAAACCTATATGTTCATTAATACCTGAGCAAATGTTTGAACATTAAACCTAGCCATACACCATCCTTCCCAATAGAAAACTGAACAAATGTTGTACAACCTGTACAGTCCACCAATTTTTCATACTTTCTAGTGTTTAGTTTTTATTGTCTTTAAACCCTTCATCTGAACACAATAACTTTCTCGTAGTCCATTCCCCCAGTGCGCCTACTACTTCTTGTCTTTGCCTTCCTGATACTAAAACCTTTTTAAAAAGAATACTCATTGTATAAATCGTAAGCCTCTACATCACCCTTAATAGTCTTCAACATTAATTCAGATTTGTCTGCCTCATGAACTATTACTGTATCTTTATTCACTGAAAATAGTAAATGTACATAATATAGGCATATAATGTTCATTTTAGAATTAGGTCATACTGTATCTGATGAAAAATGTTCATATCAAAATAATAAAATGTTCATTTATATTCGAAAAATATGAAAACGACAAAAACAAAGTGATTAATTCATTATTGAAATATTGTTCATAATCAACATAATAAATGTTCAATTAAAAACACTATAATATTATTATAAAACAAACAACGTATA